GAAAGTCAGAAGAGGGCACTGGATTCCCCTGGAACTGGAGTTAAGGATGGTTGTTAGCCACCATGTGGGTGTTAGAAATCGAACCTAGTTCCTCCGCAAGAGCAGTCAGTGCTCTTAACTGCTGAACCATCTCTCCAGCCCTATGTCTTGCCTTTTCGAGAAAGGGTCTCCTTGTAGCCCCCCGGCTGGCCTGAAACTATGTAGACCAGGCTGGCTTTGAACTCACAGAGATCTGCCTGCCTCTTCCTCACGCATCCTGGGATTAAATGCGAGTGCCAAATTTTAGGGGCTGGAGAGATGGCTCAGCGGTTAAGAGCTGAGCTCCAGTTCCAGGGGGAATCCGAAGCCCTTTTCTGACCTCTGAGGCATTGCACAACACGGGTGCACTCACATACATGCAGGCAATACACTCATACACATTAAAAATAAATAAATAGCCGGGCGTCGTTTCATGTAATGCCCAGGGAGGTAAGAAGGCATCGGATCCCCTGGAACTGGAGTTACAGATGGTTGTTAGCTGCCATGTAGGTGCTAGGAATTGAATCTGGGTCCTCAGCAAGAGGAGTCCTGCTGTTAACTGCTGAGCCATCTCTCCAGCCCCATGTCTTACCTGTTTTTTTAAATTTTTATTTATTTATTTAATTTATGTATATGGGTGTATTTCCTGTATATAGGTAAGTGCACCCGTGTCCTGCAATGCCAGAGGAGGTCAGAAGAGGCTGGTCGGTCCCCTGGGACTGGAGTTACAGACAGTTGTTAGCTGCTATGTGGGTGCTGGGATTCGAACGCGGGTCTTCTGCAAGAACAATCACTGTTCTTAAACCCTGAGCCATCTCTCCAGCCCCCAGCTTATTTTTATTTTTTGAGACAGGGCCTCACTATATAGCCCCAACTGCTTTAGAGTTCACTATATGGACCAGGTAGGCTTCGAACTCACAGAGATCTGACTGTCTCTGGCCCCTGAGTGCTCGGATTAAAGGCCTATGTCCCTAGGCCTGACCTGAGCTTTGAAAAACGTAGAGAAAGGTCAGGGGACTTGCTTTCACCAGGCCAGAGACTTAACTTGCTCCAGTCTTTCAATGGGCACAGGAAGACGCTGAAGCCTGGGGAAGGGAAGGTCTCCGGACCGAGCTTGGGCGGGGAAGGGAAATACATCCGTTACTCCTCACCTGCTGTAAGGCGCGGATTCCCTTCCCAGGGCAATTAGCCAGGTCCCCAGGTCTTCATCCCGCCCCAGGGAGTCCAGGGCGGGACCAAGAGCGGCTC